GAACCTCGGCTCATCGACCAGTCTGTAAAGCTGGCGAATTTCAGTTGAGCTGTGATTCTAGATGTAACCAGTTGTGAGCGACCAACTGACCGTTCGATTTGGTCATCGATCCTTACGAAGGACCTTATTGTTTACCAGAGGACAGGTCGGTGTCTGAATTAGTCAGCAGTTTGTTAGACCAGAAATCGCACCTAAAATCAAACTCACTAGTGTAAGTATGAACCACAGGCGAAACTGATAATCAATGGGTCACACCTCTGATATTTCTGCGGCCACCTGCTGTGTCTCAGTAGGGATGAATGTGTTTTTGAGACTGAGTTGTCTGGATCCAGCCACATCCATTCTCCTAGTAAAACAGCCCACGGCTTTACAAGCGTCAGGTGCTCAGTAAAAACGGATAGCTAATTAGAAAGAAAACTACTGACTAGTTACCAGTAGTCAGACGGTTAGCTGAATTGGTCACCAGCTGGTTGAAATCAAATCAGTTTCGCGCAATATTTGGTGGGAAACTACATTAGGTGCGGATCAATTATGTCTTAGAATCACCGATCGCTTGGATATCAGCCAAGTAAACGTTGATGAACGGGTGTTTCGCACGCTCCTACGTCGTACACACTGAGTGTCTTCAAGACAGCCTCTTTCCAAAGGAAAGTCAGCTCCAGGGTAATCCACAGGAAAAATCCATCGACGAATTTCCTTTAGGATTTCCTATTTATGCAGAGAGCGCCCTTACCTTGTTAGGGATTCAAAGATCTTGTTCCCTTAGGAGTGGCTACACTCCTCAAGATATGTCGTGAAATCGACAATCAGTCAAACTATTCGGGAAGAACCAACATGTTTTAAGGGTCATTTTGAGACACTAAACGACTTGAGTTTTGAGGGGGACAACCAGCACAATTTCAAGACTGTTCACAACTTGTTTGAGCTAGTTAATCCAACTGAATTCGATGATTTCAAACTAAAACTAATATCATACCTCTCGATAAATGTTGTAGTATACCAAATATTGAAAATATTCGAGCATAGGCTTCTCTTTCCCAATGATATTTCGTGGCTTTATTCATAATAAATAAATAAATAAGTAATACTAATTGCCGGCCGCAGCCTGTTTATCTGTCACTTCGCAAACAACGTATCGAAGGTTGGTGACCCCAGAGTACAATCATGGGTAGAATTAGCATACTCCTAGTTTGTTGTCATTGAATCAGACCAAAAAGTAAAATACGGTATTAGAAGTATGACCCTGGGACAGAATCTGTGACGGGAGCCGAAACCAGGGTACCGAGTGGTTTTCAGCTTGGTTTTATTGGATTCGCTGTTGTTCGATGTTGGTTTTGCACTACGACCTTGAAGATTACGAAAGATCTGATGCATCTTTTTGGAAAAAAGAGATGCAAGGAGACAACCACCAAATAAATAGAATAAGCCTTCTGTCGGTCGTCGAGTCCATTTTGAGTCAACAGTCATAAGTTCAAGCGAATAGTGGAGGAATTCATTCTGGCTCAATAATGGGTAACAAGCTTGGTCAGAGAACACTGAATGGTCCGTCAAAACAGGTCCCTAGTTTTTGGCAAGTTTTAACAACCAGAAGCACATATGATAATGGAAGACAATATCAACGAAGAAATGTTATCCTCGAAAGATATCTAGAAGATCACTTTTCGCAGTAGCCCTGTTCAAGGGGATTTCGCATCCAATTACTCGGGCTAAAAGTATTGACACTCAGTCTAACATCATCGACCGATAAGAACAGAAGAGAACCCTTTAGGGTTGGGTGCACTCTGCAGTAGACTGTCGCTCCTGGACTGCCGGCCTACGTATTATTCAAAATAGTCAACCGCCTTAGAAACAGTCGTTAATATGTTGACCTTCCAGTTGCTGAAGTTCTGAAGAGCTTACGAACACCGTTATGAAATGCCACACCCAAATAAGGCTACAGGCTTAGGTAGAATGAACCACAATGTGTCGCGTTATCGTGTATAATCCATCAAAGGCCGGTTTATTGCTGAGTAATTTATCGCCATACCTACTCGTTTGGGAGTCAAAATACCGTTGGACAGACTTATCACGGGGCGATTTACGGCCACACATTTGAACGTCTGACTGGCACAGAGCTTAGCAATGAATACTCAGAGTTTGTTTACCACCCAAAAGTATAACTTGGACAAAAACAATCAGAAAGTTATCAAACGAATGGAAGAAAACCAAGGAACGAAAGCTACGGAACCCTTGTTGATTGCCGTACACCTCTGAATCAGCCACTCCATCGGCCCTATGCTTGTTTTTTTCCAAAATGAAGAGGAGTGCACTAGTCATATGCCTTTGCAAAATTGATTCATCCAGATCGATTGTACAGCGCAGCAAAGTGCATTACTTTTGCCCGACTGAAAGCATTAGTGTGTGAAGTCAGACTGGCGTCGTGTGGGCGACAAGAGAACTCGAGCAAGACGGAAGGCGGTCACCAATCTGTTGTTAGAATTTCCAAAATATCTCCACGCAAAACTTCTGCTTGAGCAAAGATCTTCAAAAAACAAGCCATAGGCAAACCTTTCCGCAAAAAATAAAGGCGTGATATTTATGCAATGGTGATGTGTAAGTGAAGTGAATTTACTTCGTTCAAAAACCTAAGGATACATTATGATTGAGACAGGGCGACACTGAGCAAAACCAGGAAATAACTCATTCTTTCATTTTCCAGACAACCTTATTCTGATCTTAATCTGGTGAAGGCTGTTGTCGCGCAGCAATAAATTAGAAACGCGCAAACAACCAGACGGTAAGCAGGTTACGTTACAATCGAGACTAAAGTCTCTTGATGGTCTACTCTGATCGTGACGATTGTAACAAAGGGAGCATTTCATGTCCGAATCACCCGGGGAATAATGAACTGAGCTGGCATCCATTGGATAAAAGCATTTTCTAGGTCGTTCAATCGCACGATGAAATTTTTTTGACACTAATCAGTTCTTTCAATAAACCCCAAATGTTTTTTTGACGATAAACCGTTGCGGCGATATATCTGACTGAATTGCGGTTACGGTTAGGACCTCAAGTGCTTGCGAATTACTGGTTGATGGAAGTTCTGAAGCATGAGTGAGAGTAACCAGATACGACTGGTCGCAGCGTAGTATCAGTTAGACTGTTCGCTTCAAGCTATAAAACGAAAAAAAATTCTAACGCGGATCGCTAAACGCACCCATCGTACACGGCCGAAAATATTCTGGTCACCCAAATTGTCGTGAGTTTTTACATGGGAACGAGTCCGAGAATTCTAATGAAAACCGAATACACAACGAAACCTTCTAATACAACCCGGAAAAAGCATAATTCTAAGAATTTAAAGCTTGTTGAGTCCAGCTTTCCATAGTGCGCAACGTTACATGCATTCACAGTATAAATTGACACTCGAATGCTAACTTTGTCAGTTTTCCTCTGAGATTTCGTCCTGAAAAGCAGAGGGGTATCGTACAGCTAGCTGTTTCATCCTTACTGCGCATTTGACGAAACTCTGGGGAGTTTTGAGTTAATTACACTGCTAACCAGTTGTTCGTGTCCGCATGTCTCTGCTCAGACTACTGGTCGGTATGTCACGGGTTCGAGAGACCCTTGAGTTTTGTGAGATGCGCACGGCTAATGATTCCAAATAAGGATGAAACAGCTGCACAGTGCTTCTTTATTTTTCAGCACAGGTTAGCCTCTCTTACAGGAAGAAATCTTAATAAAAAATTATGAACCACCTTGCTCCGCCGTCAGTTGTCGCTTGACTAAATTATGTACCTACGTACACAAAACAATCAATGCAACCAGAGGAACGTTTAAGGCTCATCCTCTTGGTGTCTCGATACTGGTTTGTGAAAACACTACCCTGACTAACTCTGACCGAGTTCCGAAGCCCCAAACTTTACACCTAGAGCTTTCTGTAGCACACTGCCTGGGTTGGTCAGAGGAATGACGCCAGAACTGCTGGCGAATCCTGGGTTCAGCGATCTGACAACACGACACTAGCCTCGGCTGTCACAACACATCGTGAAGTTCCAATTGGCTTGAGAGACCCAAAGGCAAAATGATAAACTGCGTGAAAGAAACAGCTCCTTGTGTGCAGTCAAGCAAACATGAGCGAAGTAGATTGCTTGTCTTCGAATATGCATCACTGTTGCCATCTGCGAGAGCTGGGATCTGATTTTTTCTCAAAAGAAGCACGTGGATTATGCTGACAACCTAGAAGAATACGGCATCTTTTCGTGCAGTAAAACGTTGGGCTGCCAGATTCCCACTGCTAAGATGGGTTGGGCAGGTTTCGAGAAGGTTCGGGAAACTAACGTTTCCAGGAGGGGATTTCGAATTGAAATATTAACTCAAGCTATACGTGTATTAATGCAACAGCCTTCCTGGGATGTGGTATGGTGTTTGCAATCCGAAGGGCTGTCAACTGCCAACCGTGGACGTCGCGAGCACGAGTTTTGTTAATCATATTCAGCCGAGTTTGTATCCAAAATACGCTGTCAACTGCCACCGTGGACGTCGCGAGCACGAGTTTTGTTAATCATATTCAGCCGAGTTTGTATCCAAAATACGCTTGGTGGTTTTTCAACTTCACCATCATTCTCGTATGTAAGTTCAACGTGAATTCTTGTAAGTGCATACCTTATTCATTCATCCTGACTTGGAGTAAGCAAAGAAAATTGTACCAATCAACCAAAGTGAGGAGTTAATGGTCAAGCTTTCGGCATTCTGATGACAATATGATTACATTCGTGCTTAGTTCACCGTGAAACGTACGGGAAGTTTAAATCATCATCCGATCTTTTTTTATGCTGACACCTGGCTTTATGACTTAATTTATTTCAGAGAATTGGATTTGCTGATTGGGAGTCCCTGCTTAAGCAGATACGATTGAGAAAACATTAATTCGTGGTATTTAAGAAAAATCCCTACACCCAACGGTTGCATCAGGGAACAAAACGAAATGAACTCGGAACTAATTGTTCACATATACTCACCACGAATGGCCCCTGTGCATCGTGTTGGTCTTGCGGGCTTAGCGATTTCGTCGCTGACTCAGGCTTGAGTGCCATGGTGCGATAGCTCCCTTGCTGAATCAAGTCTGCCCACCATGCGACGACAGGAGGCCGGATCGACTGGCACACTGCAGCGAAATCGATTCGGACCGGCGCTCCAGGTAGCAGCCACTCTGCGAAGCACGCCTGAACATCATTAGCGTGAGTTGATTGGTTCATACGCGGTCTAGTGCGTAGTGAGCTGCGTCAAGGTCAAGTGTAAATTGTCCAATCGGACAATGGATTAATGTGAGCGAAGCTAATCGTTCCCTGACCGAAGTGGTCGGACGACTCGGCTATCGGTAAGTCGTGTATCTGCGGTCCCGATCGGTGTGCCTCGGCTGTCTTTATGAGTTGTCAACACTCCATTTTTGTCGAAGGCATTTCCGTCCACAGGGGGCCTCGTGACAAATCAGTATATGGGTGGGAACTCTGGAAAAAAATTGAGTGCCGCAAAATGCGCTGTTCTGCCTTCCTGTAACTGACCAGCAGACAGACAAGGAACTCGCCCACTGCTGTGATGTCACGGGGCTCGCATCCGGACCCAAACTCTCGTAATGCCATATGTGTTATTGGATTTCTTTGTTGTTAAGTTAGCCGACAAGCGAGAGAGCGTCCTTGGAACGATTTCCGACACAACCGAGTAACATAGACGTATGCACAAACTAGTTCAATCAGAAAAAAGGATGTAGCAGAAATGTAGCAATCCAACAGTCAGATCCAAGTTAAATGCAAGCCACAGATCCTGATCTTGAAATTCAAGATCACAGATTGGTAATCTTTCACAATTTCGTAAAGCATGCCCAAAGATATGGAAATCAGTACCTCAATTACTCAGTTTTCTGGCAGCTGAAAGTCTTATAAGTTGCTTTTATTTTAACCACAACTTTCAAACTAGGTACCCACCATATATTACTTTACTCTTCTTCCCAGACATAATATTTTACATTCAATTGTTTCATGGGTTGGTCGGAGTTGTTCAATGTGGGGTGATGAATGAATTCACATACACAACTAGAGTCTGTCCCAGAATTTATTTTGTGTCCGTTGTCCCAATTACCCGCGGAAGCAAGCAGGCCTTTGCTACCACATACTACTTGCACGCCTCATCAGTAGTATCCATCGTTACACCCGTAGTTATAGGGCTCATTTGCAAAAAAGACCTCAAGTAATATTGACATACGTTTTGGGGCTCTCATTCCGAGTGAGCCGGAGATAATGATCCTGAGCCTATGAGGCATGAGGCGGTGGTAGTGCATGACCCTTGTAGGACTCAAGTTTTTTCATAGTCTAGCATAGTTTTATATTCTTCCGCAGTGACCTCTCACTGAATAGTCCTGGCATTAGCTACCGTGTACTATGCAGACAAGACACAAAGGTTTTCAACATGTCAACGGAAACTGGAAATCGCAATAAAGAACTCAGTAGGATTAGTCAGGCAACTCATGTTCCTTTCATAAAAAGAGCTGAGTGGGATCCGCCGGTAGGTGGATAACCCAGAAACCTCTCCATCAACACATGTAGAATGTAGCATCCATACGGTCCTAGGGTGCATTGAACTCTTCAGTTAGAATTAATTTAATCCTCAAAGTGATTTGTCCCTTGTATGATCTATTCTAAGGCAGTGGGCAACCTTGTAGTTCCGAACACTTGTTCCTCGCTTAGTAAAATCTAAGGTAATTCTTCTTGGGCGATTGAAAATATCTACAACTTACTAACATTCCTATCGTCCTAACCGATATTCATCCAACAAGGGGACTGGAAATATGCTAGCACCAAATAACTACTTCCTTAAGAATCCACCCCTTTAGAAGTCAAAATGCAGTTTGGAACCCTATCGAATGAAACGGTTTTTGTCTCCTCTTCAGAGAAAAATTACTAGTTTTAGCGAACTTAGGACCTTATCAGCGTGTTGGATCAAATAAACGAGCAAAGTAACAAAATCACAATAAGGAAAGAATAAGCAATCAATAAGGACTCACGAATGCGTAGATCCAATAGTCCACTACACCGATTTCAATGCCGTAACCGGCCGTGAAGGAAATATCCACTTGTAGAGATTTTTCCACAGATGCTTCACGTGTGAGTAGTATATTCCACGATAGGAAAGTTATTCACAGGTGAAAAAATGCCACAGGGAGTTATTGTGACGTTCAACAGTTCACACACATACACGATAATTCAATCCCACGACTTCAGCAAACAGCAATCAGTCCAATCGGATGCAATTTCACTGACTCAGCAAAAAGCAGGGAAGTCGCGCTAAGAAGGTGTGTATTTTCACCATTTTCGACTTTAATGTAATTATTGGTACAATAAAACAAAATGTCATGATACGTGTACAGTGTTTACAAATTGCGATTCAAGTTTATTATGAAGAGAGTAGCAAATGGGGAAAATGTAACACTGATTTGCAAAACACCAAAGTACTCCCCCCTAGAGTATTCAAAACACCACAGATTATAAAATAAAAAGTGCCAAATTATCCTGTAGATTGTGGTGAACGAGGGCATCTGACCTCGTGGAACATGCTCCCTAACTTTTCAGAGAGCATCACGGACACTTAATCATCATTAGATCACTAACAAAGATCTTGAAGTGTTCCCCCAAAATAACTTGTGTTTAGCTCATAAAAATTGCTTTTTGGACACTCAGGTTGTCCGTAGCGTGGCATCTGTATTCGTTCATTTGCAGATTATAAATTAGATTCACCTGTTATTCTCATCTTTTCACTAAAAAAATCAGCTACACAGTGAACCCTACGCTATAAACGTTGTATTTAGTCTGTGGCGTTTTGTACCTTTATTTTACTTCCATTATAACACTACGTATTTCATCAATTGCATAATCNTGCAGTAACTGGCTGTGAAAGAAATATTCACTCGTAGAAATTTCCAACGGATGATCCACGTGTGAGCGGTATGTTCCACGATAGGAAAGTTATTCACGGCTGAAAAATGTCACGGGGATTTAATGTGACGTTCAACAGTTGACGCAAACACAGAGATCTAGTCCCACTGATTCAGCAGTCAGCAAACAGTCGTACGGAGCGTAAATACACTCGTTCAGCAAGAAGTCAGCAGGTCGCGCCGGAAAGTCGTGTATTCGTAACATTAAAACAAACGTCATGATAAAATATGTACGGCAGTTACAAAATGTAGTTTAAGTTCAGAAAAAATGGTAAATATGTGACAACGGATTAGAGACACTACAAATATACCGTAAAATGAAGCGCAAATTGAACTATTAAGCCCACAAGGGTGTATAGATAGATTTTGGTTTCGATTGACGTAAGCCTTCTGTTGAACGTGAAACAAACGAAATACGAAAAATCTGATTGTGTATAAAACAGGGGAATATGACATTTCAGTCTCATCTAAAAAAGCCAACAAAGTCCGCCTCAACAGCTAGCAGGTAATATATCCAAGGTCATCAGGTGAAACCAAGGTTTTCAATTTTGAGTTTTGATTTCCCCAATCTCTGTATCAAGGGCGAAGGGAAATCAATAAACTATTGTAGGTGTGGAACAAATGTGTGACCTGTTTGTACAAATGGGGGGCACGAAAACGGGAAGCGGGTTATTTTTCACCATGATGAGTACATATCTGACATTCCGTCCCCAGGGAACTTTTGGATATGGTAGAGAAGGCACTTGTGCAATCGGTTAGCGTGTTGTCTTGCTCCGCTTAGCTCACGGACGCGTTGCTTGGATTTTGGTCTGCAAGTCACCAAGCAAGCACGGTGAAAAGACCAACTACCAAGTTGATCATTTGTTACCAGACTGTGTGTTTGATCAAGCCGCTATCATGCCTCATCAGCTTCCTTGGTTACCTGTCTGAGCAGGACCAGTAAGCTGGTTTGAGACTAACGATGACGTCAGTGTGAAGGGTTTTCGACTGAGATATTACTGCCTAACTACCGCTACCTGGATTATTGATCGAAAGAATGATCACTGGAGATAATTAGGCACAGAATAATAGTTGAAATCACTTTGTCTGAAGAATCGCGTTCATATCTGTGTTCGGTATTCACAGTATTGATGATTTCCGCTACAGCATTCTTTCAGTGAACAGAGGTTCTCATGACCGGTTTCTGCCCCGGAAGTTTGATTTTACTTCGAACTTTATGTCATCAGTTGTCGTCAGGGCTACTCAAGTCAAGGGCAGAAAATGTTGACCAATAGAAATGCACCAAAAAGACATGCTCAACAGGCCTCAACCCAAGGTGGACCGCGTCAGTCTTTACAACTATTTTCTAGCTTTCATTAAAAGCAGAAAACTATTTAAGTCCCTGTGAGGACCGATGACTAATAAGACAAAACATTCAGCCCATTTACAAGTAGTTTCTGAATAAACCGATAGCTAGCTTGACCAGGAATCACACCTAAACACAGAATTTACAATACTGCTACCACCTGGAATCGGCTGAATAGCCGCCCTTGTCTTCCAGCGAACTGAATGTACAATCAGGTACAATTAAGCATTCCCATTGATATTTTTCCACTAATCAGAGTATGCTGTCCAAAATAATGGTTGTGAAACCTGGGAAGTTACCACCTGCCACCAACATTAAAACCGTTTGCCTGTGAACAAGCCACGTGAACAGCTGTTCTCCTGGTGACTGGCATTTAATTTCACCATGCCTTACAACGACGGATATGACAGCCAGTTAATTGTCACAATGACGATCTTTACGTTCCATATTTGCATTGTTCCATATTTGATTTTCTAACAAGAATATTGAAGAAAACTGATATTCGAATCTAATCTTATGTTCACACGAGTTAATATGTTGCCTCAGCTCAGTAATTTCATGTGCACAGTCGACGTAAAAGTAACGCCCCCCGTTAGGCACAGCGCTATGCGCACTAAGTTGGGTCGAATAGACGCAAAAGGATAATTCTAGCTACTCAAGTTGCCAAAACACAGTCATCACTATGATATCTATGGCTTGGTGGGTCTCCACGCAGAACACAACATAACTCTAAGGGCTGTGTCAGCGCCTAAAGTGACACTTTCTCAATCATCAGATCAAATCGGCGTGATAACTACGCATAGGACAAATCTTCTACATTGCATTTGCCTCCAGACCAATGAGAATACACCTGATCGTCACTAATATGAGGTTTTACGTGCGGTTATACTGGAAATATAAAGTTGTACAGCACTAGGTCCAGCACT